CATAAATAGTTAAGTATTTTATATAATTGTTATTATAAAATTAATAAATTATTTAGAGTAACATGAACCAAGTTCGTTATCATTCTTTTTATTTAATTATGGTCAAAAACAATAATTAGTAATATTACATAAATATAATTTCTGCTAAGATTCAATCGATTTGTTGTGATTTTCAAGTTTGATGACCAAGTCTAGAATTAAGCAAAAATCGATTTTTATCATCTACATTTAACCTTTGAAATAAAATATAGTATGAATCACAAGAGTGGTGTCTGATTGGTTTGAGCTTGACTCCAAAGATCAAAAGTATCAGGAGGTCTCAGGTTCAAATCCAATGAGAAATAAAAATCCCCTTGTGGTCCCGGATGTTCAAATGTGGTGACTCCGGGTTATCTGCAAAGTAGGTGGTTGTTCTGGGAATAGTCGGCTCACATAGCGGGTTGGATATTCAGGTTAATCAAAAAAAAAATATAATATTATAATTTTATTTATTAATAAAATATTTCTATCCAAAAGTGTATAGTAGGGAAAAATTTCAGGGAGAACCCCGGAGAAAAAAGAGCCAACGAACAAAAAAATGGTTGAAAAATATATCAAAATAAATATTAAATTAAAGATAATAAAGTGATCTTTTTTTTTTGATGTAATTTGTTTCACGTTATTTTTTTACAAATTTTTGATTTAAAAATTAGGGAAAATATTTGTATTTTGTGAAAAAGATGGTTATTTATCACCTCTTTTTAATCTCATTTGTTAAATCATCTCAATCTAACGCTTTGAATGAGTTCTTCATTTTTTTTCTTTTATCTATTTTGGCATTTCTATTATTGATAGATGATATTTGAAAAGACCAAAAGTAGAGGGGGTGAAATGTAATATTCCCATTGTTCAAAATGCATTGATGTCACAGGCTGTCTTGGCCCCCCGCGACTTTCTTTTTTTATTACAAAACACCCCCCACAAATGTTCGCTAGTTGCTTGTCGCGTAGAACCTTACATATTATATAGGTTTGGAATTTAATAAGCATATTCTCTAAAATAGAAAAATATAGATTTTGTTTTTTATTATGTTACAATATATTATTTATATTATTATTTAAAATAGAAAAAAAAATCATATTTTATATAATTATTTAAAACTTGATATGAAGAGAGAAAAATGATTTTCTAGACAACACAAGCATCGTTTTACATATGAAAATTGTTCACATTTTGCGGTTCCTTTAAACATTATATTTCCTTGTTTAATTTTTTTTTATTAACCTGGATATCTAATCCGCTATGTGAGCCGACTAATCTTAGAGCGATCACATACTTTGTAAATATCCCGGAGTCACCGCATTTGAACCTCCGTGGCCACAAGTGGATTTTTATTCCTTCTTGGATTTGAACCTATTACAACGGGAAAAAATGGTTTATATAACGGGAAAAATGGTTTAACCATCTTTCATTATAAGATGCTAGTAGGTACTGATTGAGAACAAATATAAACGGAGAATGAAAAAGCAAGATTCCGAAACAAAAAGACGAGATTGATAAATTCGGTAGTCGAATATTTAAATAGGTGGAGGTTTCAAATGAGAACATCTTCATTTTACGAGAACATGTGAACACCCTTGTCACATATGATAATACACGTGATGGGACCTGGTGATGTGCAGATGTCGTATCTTGCGATTTAGGTTGCTCCAAAGGTCGTCTACATCTATAATTTAGTATAGCGCGTGATAGTCTTGATAAATTATAGTATCACATTAATAGCATTTTCATCACATGTGAGAGGGTTTATTAGTATAAGGGCGACTTGGCCTGCAACCTAGATTGCGTCAAAAATCGTCAATGTCTCTAATTTAGTATCACATGTGTATCATATGTGATAAAATAATTGTATCACATATAAAATTGTATATAGTTCTCACATTCTCATAAAATAAATGTGCTCTCCTTTGAACCTTCCCTATTTATTTATATACATGTATATATTTATATACTAGAAAGGTACTCACGCAATGCAGTGAGATAAATCTCGATTTTAATGTTTAGTTTTTATTCTTTGTCTCTATCGATATAATACGATGTTATGTGGTTTTGAGAAAACGATAATGTTTTTATTTTTGAATTAAAATATAAATTTGAAGATAACATAAAATTTATAAAAAAAATAAATCGATCTTAATATCAAATTAACTATTTAATAGTTCTCGTTTTTTTGGTGTAATTTCTTTAATTGAATATTTTATTATAATTTAATTTAGATTTAATAACAAAGTAATTTATTTTTGGTTTAACAATATAATTTTTTATAAAAATAATACTTAAATATTCTGTTAGAACCCAATAATTATTTTAATTATATTTTTTTCAATATTTAAAATGAATGTTTATCCTGTATTTGATTATGTTTAGCAGCAGTTAGTTATACGAATTTAAAAATTGAGCTTTAATAAGTTGTACTTACGTAAAATTACTTGTAATCTTAAATTTTAAGTAATATGCATTAATAAACAATACTTCATGCATAAAAAATAGTTTTTAAATTTTTTTGTCAAATATTTTATAATATGATATGGATATACACTTGTAAAATGTAACCTTTTTATAATCATTTATATTTGTTTAAATTTGATGGTTTTCTACAAATTTTAGACAAAATATTATTGTGTTGCAAATAAATGGGTTTTTGGGAAATTTTGTAAATACAATAATTATTTGAATATAAAAGTCAAGTCCTCAAAAAATTCTCAGGTGTTGCTTATCCAATTCATTTTAGATTATCCCTCTTTTGAAAGCATTCATTATTTTTATATTTATATCTTGATATCGACATATCTGATTCCTTTATTGGTTTTTGGTGCATAATTTTTATCTCATAAATCGAACACATTTTAACATGACATTTTTCTAAAAGTATCTATAAAGGATATTTCGCTTACAAATATAAACGTTATTGTTATATATCATCATAAATTACAACTCCACTTTCAAATATTGCAAGTTTTATTGTAACGCTAAAAATGTTTATGTGTAGATGGAAAGAAATTATTGATGATTATGTATTAAATATTTTTTATTTTTTTTTATTAACCTAGATATCCAATCCGCTATGCAAGCCAACTAATCTCATGACAACCACCTGTTTTGCAGATATCCCGGAGTCACCGTATTTGAACCTCCGTGGCCATAAAGGGATTTTTATTTCTCCTTGGATTTGAATTTGTGACCTCCTGATACTTTTGACCTTGAAATCAAATTCAAACCAAACAAACACCATCCTTGTGGTTTTTCTTAATTCTACTTTTTTTTTATTCTTATTAACATGGATATGTAGATGTCTTATTACAAAGTCGCGTTGGCATCTTGCTGATTTAAAGCAAGCATCGTTTGCATATGATTCAGCTTAAAACTTGAATATCCAATTAGTCTCCAAAAGAATATGCCACCACTGTTGCTGCCTGTTGACCCTTTGGAGTTTAACCTAGGGAAGAAAGAACGAAGAAAACCGAAACTTTAAGACAAAACCACCACCAATCTGAGCTGTACATATATATATATATATATATATATATATATAGAAAGAGAGAGAGTCTGTGTGTGTTTTCCCTTTTCGTATTATCAAATTGAATGTGTACAATTGATTGCTGGAAGCGTCACTCTACAATCCCATTTCAAGATCCTTTCTTTTTCTCTGAGGTAAACCCTAAAATCACAAGTCTTGTGGGTGTTTCTTGAAATTTACTCTTTGAATTCTTTATTTCAGCGGATATGGACATATGGGTACACTATAAAGTTTCAATCTTTTTTAATCTGCAGAAATGGTATTGAGGAGAGTGGTGGGAATGATGATGGGTTGTCTGGGAATGAGTTGTCTAAGAATAGCTGATCAACCAACAAGACCAGCACCTTCAGATTGTGATTCACCATCATGTGTATCAGATGATGCTGATTCCGTTGACCCCAAAAACCCAAGATCATCATCAGGAGGTATTGGTAAAATCAAACTAAGTGATGGAAGATATTTGGCTTACAAAGAAAGAGGGGTCCCCAATAATCTATCAAATTACAGAGTCATTATTGTTCATGGATTTGCTAGCAACAAAGAGATGAACTTTATGGCTTCCCAGGTACTTATATATAAAACCCTTATCTTTTATATGTGGATCTATGTGCCTTTTTTGCAGTTCTTGCATATTTAATGAACCCATTTTAGGGTTTAAGTTCAAGAAATGAATACTGAACTCAGATCTTCAAAATTCATTGGAAAACTAGTGTGGTTTTGATAATAAACTGTTGAGGGTATTTGTAAATTTCAGAAATTAATGGATGAATTCGGGATTTACCTTGTACAATTCGATCGAGCTGGATATGGAGAAAGTGATCCGAATCCAAAGCGTTCGCTGAAGAGCGAAGCATCAGATATTCAAGAACTTGCAGACCAGTTGCAGCTTGGATCTAAATTCTATATCATCGGTGTTTCTGTAGGATCATATCCCACTTGGAGTTGCATCAAGAACATACCCGAAAGGCATAAAAACACAACTCAATCTCTTTCAGTTGCTTGTGGTACCTAACGACAGCATTCTAGAATGTTTTGCCAGTAGAATCTGATGAGCATTTTCCAAGATAATTTCTCATTTTACCATCTATTTTAGGACTAAAACAATGATACTGATACAGGCTAGCAGGAGTTGCTCTAGTAGTTCCATTCATAAACTACCGATGGCCATCACTTCCTGATGATCTAATACAAGATGATTACCGGAAAAACCTTTCCAGGTGGACGGTCTGGATTTCACGCCACACCCCAGGATTGCTACACTGGTGGTTGACTCAGAAGATGTTCCCTTCATCTTCTGTTCTTGATAGAAACCCAAAATTCTTCAGCACTAAAGACTTAGAAGTCTTGAAAAACACTCCTGGATATCAGTTGCTCTCTAAGGTAAAACCTGTCTTCTTGTTTTCAAGATTTCAAGACTATAAATTAACAAAAAACTGCGGGAAAATGTGAAAATGATGTTGGTTCTTGAAACTGCAACAGAGCAAACTGAAAGAAGAACCGATCTTCCATAGTCTTCGTAAAGACTTCATCGTGGCATTTGGGAAATGGGATTTCGATCCATTGAGTATAAGCAATCCATTCGGTCAAAGTCAAAGTCAGCTCCACATTTGGCAAGGTTACGAAGACAAGGTTGTACCTGTCGAACTACAAAGGTTCGTTTCGAAAAGGTTGCCATGGATCAAGTACCATGAAGTTGGTGATGGTGGACATCTTCTTGTGTATGATAGTGATGTATGTGAAGCCATTTTGAGGTCTCTTTTGCTTGGAGAAGATCCTCCTTTGTATAAACCTAAATTTCATTGATAAAAACTAGCTAATGTACCTTGTAAATTAAATTGATTGGTTAAGAATTGCATCATATATTTGGTTTGATCTTACTTAATGTAACTTTTGCATTTTTATAGTAATGAAAATTTACATCCCGCTTCGAACATGAAGGCCGAAGGGTCACTCAGGGACTCTCTGTTAACAACGTAATCAGCTTAACAAGAGTTGCATCTTATTCCGTCAGCTATAAATGACTATTTTGGTAGTGACTTAACGATATCGAAAGTGGCTTATTCAATAAGCTTGTAGGAGGAGTTTTATGCATAAAACCAAGTTTTGTCCAAACTTGTATTTCTCAAATAAAAACACGTTCATTCCATCTATGAAAAAACATCTCAAACAAAAACTTTCTTGGTCTATACAGATATATTAATCCACACAAGCAATTTTATTCGTACAACACTTAATGGAAAATCAACCAAAGATCCCCTTATAGACATGCATGAACAGGATTGCAACGTTCAGAGTACAACAAAACTGGCTTTATAGCACACCAAAGATAATGCTATATGTGTGGATTCAACCTGTTTGTAAGTGGCTTAATAAGCTTAATGATACTCAAAGCCTGTTCATTCAACTATACATGATTGTTTGATAGTGGTTTAATAATATCAAAAGTGGCTTATTAGTAAGCTTCTAGGGGAGCTTTATACAGAAAGCCAAGTTTTTCCAAACCTACCCCTCCCAATTAAAAAACAAACTCTTCCATTTATGAAAAAACCCTCCTAAACAAAAACATTTTCAATCCATACAGACAAATTAATCCATACAGACAACTTTATCCATGCGAGATCTAATAGAAAACCAACCAAACGGCCCTATAGACTTAATGGAAAACCAACCAAACAACCTCTAAATATCCTAATACATTGCTTTATAAAGTCTATTAAAACATACAAGACATATTTAGTGTCCTATAAAGTTTGTCTTATAAAGTCGATTTTACTGTAATACCAACGGTGAAAAAGGCATGTAGAAAATTTCACTAAAACAGTATCAAGATGCATATTGCATATCACTCTGAAACCATATTCATATCAAACCATCAAGAAGATACAAAGCCTTCCAGCCCAGAAAAGAAGGAATCCTACCAGTGAAGTACAAGTTATAGTACAACAAAAAGCAAAAACGGCGACAACACAAGAAAACAAATAAATAAATAAAATAAAAGATTCGGTATTCCAAATCTAGCCAACTTAAACAAACCCGTCATGACTTTTTAAGTACGAAAAGCGTAGATGTTCTTCATTCCGAAAGGGGATCGACCTTGAACCTGTAAAGCAGCTTTTTCTTCTTTGATGTTGGGTTGTCGATGGTCAGAAGTATCTTACCAAGCTCGTTGATTTTAAAGCTGTGGCTAATAACTGGTTCATCTGTTGGAGTTACCTTTCTTGCTTTTTGTATGATTATGGTATAGTTACTTTCATTATTGGGCACATACTCAGCGCTGTAGCTCACTTCCCAGCCAACTACTCGTAGCTCCCAGACGAACGTGCATTTCTGCAATAAAACTTGCAATTTTACTAACTAAAACAGTCATCTTTATGACATATGAAACAAGTGATACAGACAGTGGCTGAAACCAACAATACCAAGATCAATAAAGACAACGTTTTTTCGAAAGATTTTGCATAATTAATGTAGATTTCTTGCATTTTTAGTTGAAATTCACGGGTATTGCTCTTGGGCCTTCAAGAAACTATTTGACACCATGTGTGTGTGTGTGAACCCTACTTGAGATAAAGGATGATGTCATTTGAGTAGGACTTGGTGCTTAAAACACTAATATTGCAAACAACTGTTTCTGGGCTTAGGTTAAGAATTGTGGATGGTTTTAGGGTTTTAATTTGACATGGATGGTTTAGTAATTTATCAATCTTGTCTCAGAAAAAAATGCATTTGTGTCCCACTCAAATCTTGTCCTGTCCTTGTCTACTGTCATGCAAAATGTGAACAAGTTTTTACACAGTCTTATCTTGTCCTATCCTGCATACCAGAAGCACCCCAACACTCTAATCAAAGAATTACAAAGTTCCATTTGATGTTTTATTAACTCTCATCATATCACATATAGAACTCTGTAAATATAACCAAAATTTTTTACAACAATGATGATAAAAACCTACAATTATGAGTATTACTATGGGTATCGATGGAAAGAAAGATTTACCATTGAAGTTTGTGGTTTACAACTTTTAAGGCTTTTGTGCTTATATATGGTGTCCCAACTACGAATATTAGATTTGTTTACATCCAGAAGTCTTTTAGATAATCATCAATTCTTATGGTTTGGTGAATTCGTTTGTGAATTTGTCATCTTACGAGCTTTCTCAAGGCAAAAGAGGACAAGAATTCACCTTATAAGCTATTTCACAATAAGCATGAAGTAGGTAGTATAATATAAATAGTACTGAACACGGGCAAGATTGTAATTATACCTCATTCACGATAATCTCCACAGTTTGTTTCGTGGCTGGTTTAACAGTAACAACCGCAGCTGGATCATCAATTGTGAATTGTGGATTACAGTCGCAATAATCCACACTCAACCCACCATATTGTATTGGAACATGCTCTGGACTCACATATCTACATGAAAAAGTTGACAAAAAGAACCAACTTCAAATTCAAAAACCGAAAGCAGCGGCAATTTCTGTTTTAGATTTACAAAATTGCAACAAAATATTTCAAGAAACAAACGAACCAACGTACTTGAAAAGGGCTTCAGCAGTTCTTGCAGGGCTGGCAAACACAAACTTGCTCTTAGTCCTTTGAGTCATGAATGGACTCATCATTGTATAAAAAGCCAAATACCACCACGGGACATTGATGAAAACCTACAAATATAAGCCCCACAAAGAATTACAGCTTATCACACGGCAATAATCAACGGGATTTAATTAAGCATAAGATTTTGGATACATCAAGTTAACACCAAATAAATCTACAAACTTGCAGTCATAAAAACCAATATAGATGGAATGTTCCATTCATAAGTGGAGTTGATTCCATCATTCAAGAATCATTTGAATAGAAAAGGGTATATCTATAAGAGGATATATTGAACTCATAGGGGTTGTTTGATTGGTTTTCCATTAAGTGTTGTACGAATAAAACTGTCCGTGTGGATTAATTGATCTGTCCGTATAGATTGGGGAGATTTTTGCTTGTGAATGTTTTTTCATAGATGGAATGAGCGTGTTTTTTTTAATAGAGAGGGACAAGTTTTGAAAAAACTTTGCTTTCTGCATAAAGCTCCCCCCTATAAGCTTACTGAATAAGCCACTTTCTAAAACATTAAGTCACGACCAAATCGTCATGTATAACTGACTGAATAAGTTGCGAGTCTCATATTAAGCTGCTAATAAACAGGCCCATAGTCTTTTACATACTTTTTATGGATCAATTAAACCCCAAATTCATATAGAAATCCCCAATGATCTTGTGAAATTATGATTCACATGCAATAGATGTTATTAATTAAAAACAACAATTAATCTCAGCAAAACATTAATGAAAGCTCTAACTTTTATAATACAAAATGAGCATGCCATTCTTTAAAGAAGGGGATAGACCACCACCAGTAACCAATAGTTTAAAGGTCATGAAGCAATCTAAATTATTAATATCCAATTAAAATAGCTTGTGATACACAATTTAGGGGGTATAAATTCACCTGCTTTGCAACAAATTCAGGGTAATTGTCCTGCAGCAGCTGCAGAGCTTGTTTGGTAGCCAACCGGAGCTCCCTCTTCGCCGGCCCCGGCGAGTTCTTCAGATCACTGACCTGAAAAATGGTGTTAATCCCACCAGGCCAAAAATCCAACTTTCTTATACTCCTCTCAAGAAACTGAATCCTCCATTTCAAAAACCTAGTCCTCTTTTCTTCATCTGAAAAGGTTTTTTGATACAGTTCTTTGTTCTGAAACTCCCCATAGACATTATAACAAACTGGGTGCCCTTCTTTATCATAACCATGCATAAAGACAACCTTTTCAAGATCATCTCCAAGGTTTTCATCTACTAAAGCATCAATGCTAAATGACTTTCTCCAACGAAGTGTGTTCTTTAGCATTGTGAATGAATCTTTGACTTTGAAGTCTCTAGCTCTCAAGAACTTGAGCAAAATCACATCAGTTCTTTCATCTTTGAGAAGAGGTATTCCCCAAATTGAGATCTCTTCAGGATTTGATTTGATTTCTGAAGTGGGTTCTTCCGATGTAAGTGAAAAGTTGAAATCTTTGTTGGTGATAGCTTCTTGAACCAGGTGCTTGAACTCATCGAGTGACACCTTCTCCAAATCTGATAGATCTTTGATTCTATTGCTTTCTTCCTTGAAAGAAACCATGGATTCAGGGACTTTCTTGGTGGGTTTCTCTGGCTGTTCTATTACATCAGCTAGAGTAGTGTTGGTGGTGGAGGATGGTGGTGATACGGCGGTGTCTTTCTCTGTCAAAATGAGCGGGAGTGAAAGTGGGGTTTCTTTATCAGTTACAGAAACAGGTGGTGGGGTTTCTAGGTTTCCTTCTGAAGTGGAGGTAAGCGGTGGAGACTGTATCACCACCCCTTCTGGTGCGGCGGCGGTGGTGGTGGTGGGATATTCGTCGGCCATATTTGAAAATCGGAGGGTTTAGAGTTAAAGAGAGTGGTGTAGTAGCAGCAAAAGGGAGTCGTATTTTCGATAAAGCAGACAGAATAAAAGAGGAAGTAAGAAAAAATATGAACCGATCTCAGAGAATGTATAATGTCATACGTGGTGGGTTGGTAAAGAAGGAGGTCATTCTCTTTACAATGTCATCTTCTTTCTACACCTATCATCAATTCAATGCAAAAGGTTTTTTTTTTCTATTTTTTTATATTAATATCAGATTAAATCATATATTAAGATGATGTTTTTCTTGGAAGAAGATATTATAAAGGTTCTTATAAGCAAAAACATTTAGGTTTTTGAGGGTGTGTTTCATGCATTGGATAAGACAGACAGAAAATAGATCATTATTTCACGTTTGATAGGATTTTTATGTAGAACAAATAGGAGCATAATGAAACAAAGTGGAAGACTCCCATCCCATAAAACAAGGTGGAACGGAGTAATGTTTTTACCAATATAACCTCAAAATAAAATATAATTCTCTTCTAAAACATTAAATACACATTCTTTTTATATTTTATTTACTATTTAAATTTTATTTATTATATTTTATATTTTTTACACTTTTCATTTATTATCCTCAAAAATTTTATTTTTATACGATTTATATATTTTAATTAATTTATATAACTTATTAAAATTTAATAATAATAATAATAATAATAATTGAAAACTATATAAAAAAATATTTTAGTGTCATTTTAATCGTTTTGACGAAAAAAATTAATGATATATTTTGTAATAAAAGTATTTATTTTATTATAATTTAATAAATTACATACTTAATCAAAATATATAAAATATAAATATATATAGGAGGTTTATTTTACAAACCATGTTATTTGTACAAACCTCATTCAACCAATCATTATTTTTCATTTTGTTCATTTTTTGTAATTATGAGAAGTTGATTAATCATTTTTATTTATCATATTCATTATATTAATTTTCAGAGAAATACATGAAGCAATTTCATTAAAATATCATAAGTATGTTATGAAAGAATTTCATAACCATATATGAAACAACTTCATTAAAAAAAAGTATTATATGAAACAATTTCATAAGATTAAACAATTTTATGAAGAAAAAAAAAATCATAAAATTAATCTGACGGATAATGATGGTTTGAGTTGAACACAATATAGAAAACTAAAAATAGAAGTAGATTCTTCATTTAAAAATGCTTCTAGCATACAGACATGTATTTAGCAACTATAGATATACATTCATATTTGAATAATCTTAAGTCAAATTATAATATTAAAAAATATATAATAAATAATTATAATTCTAGTTTAACATAGAGTTTGGTTTTGACTTTAATGAAATAAAATGGCAATAAAGTTATGGTGGTAGATGGAGCAATCATGATGATGGGCATGCAACACCTTTCTTATACATTCAAGATACAGACAATTAGACTTAATTACCAACAACATTTTGCTTATACATTCAGCTAAAATAATTCTAATTCACAAGTTTTAAATAAGCTTCTTATATTTACATCTATTTCTTAATATTCAACTTCTTGTATGTAATACTAATCAGGGTTAAATTCCGGTGACAAGGAAAGTCATGGTGAAAAACGTAAGAATAGATATTCATTATTAGATCAATCATAATTGAATGTCAACGCTAATGAAGTACACTGAGATGCATCAGATCAATTATCTTCTAAAGTGTAATTAATGGATGGACATGAGATTAAAAATGATTAAGGATTCAGATCTCTTTTTACGCTTCATAACTTACCTTTTCACCATATTTTCTCAAGTTCTTATTCTTGTTTATGTTTAATACAGAGTTTTTGCATTTATAGACGGTATTTGACGTAGCGGTATTGTAATCCTTGTTCTCCTAAGAGATCAGTGGTTCAAACTTCACTAAAGATTCGGAAGATGTGTAAATTTATTTGTTACATTTAACGTATATAAATATTATATTATATTATATACTTACAAAAATTAGAGCGACAATACCAAGGTTTAGGTTTGGGTTTGGGTTTGGGTTTGGGGGTCATCAACATTTGTGTAATCGTCTGGATTTTCAAGTGGATTTAACCATTTAATATGGTAGGGTTTTTGGGTACATAACTGGGCCCATTTAAATTTTACATTCGAACTAGACTTTTATTTGGGCTATTATGCTTTATTTTATACTATTAAATTTGAGTCATGCATCTATATATCATCTATATTACATTAATATGTATTTGAACTTCATGGATTCACCTATCTATATACGCTGCAGCTAAAGTTGCAAAAACAAGAGTTTAAACACAACATTTAAAACATAAAGTGTCAGCAATTCTCTTTATTACAACTTTTAAATCATGATGTACAAGTTATTGATACAACGCCACCTAAACTGAAAGTTTCAACTCTGCTTTCTTTCTTCAACTTTTTTCCGTCCCCGTTTAGCTTTAGAAATGTTAAAGCATCACTTATAATTATAATATTTAATGCCTCTTGTACAACTTATTGATGCATATTCTTTTTTATTAAAGGGGTGTTTGGGATTGCTTAATAAAACTATTTATTGATTTATTCTGATGGAGTACTTGTAATAAGCAGTTTTAGTGTTTGGATGGGAAAAAAAAATAAATGCTTATACCGGTGTCAAATCGGTAATAAAGAGTTTTTTTTGATAAATTACTCATCTCTAACTCATCATATTCAACTTATTAGCTTTGGAAACCAATTTACCTTTTTAACTTTAAACCTACCTTCTCCATTCAAGCGACCAGTGAAACGGCCTTCACTTGTGAATCGATAAAACCTTCACCTGCAAAATTGAAATCGACCTTAACGTGCAAAATCAAAATCAGTATCAAAAATCAAAATCTACCTCCAACTCAAACCTGTTTTTGGCCAATGACCTTCACCTGCAAAATCGAAATGGACCTTCCCTGTTTTTGGCCAACGATCAAAGCCTTGGTCCCTGTCTTTGACTGACGATTGGGATCTCTCCAAATAGATAAAACCCTCAATCAAATCCTTGGTCCCTGTTTTTTTGGCAGATGATGAGGACTTTTCATGTCATTTTTTGGTCATTTTAGATGTATAAGCAAAATTTGGCAAACATTAAAAAACAACTCATCAGCTTATTGCGTTTTCATACCGCTATAAGCTAATCCAAACACTTTTTATAAAACTTCCATTTAACACCACATAAGTTAATAAACACTTCAAATAAAAAAAACAAGTTGTTTGAAATAAGCAATCCCAAACACCACCTAAATTATACAAGTTAGTATGTGTATGTTGAAGGTTCCAGCTTTATCACTTTGCCAATGTTTACCTGAAAAGGCAACTGTTTCATGCTCTGAGTTTTAGAGGGTTTCCCAAACTTCAACCAAATTCAAATTCAAATGTAACAAAATCTGCAATGAACCCCAGATTGAGATCTTAACCATTCAACATACTCCCACATCCCAAAATCTCTCATCGCCATTCAAATTCAAATCAACAAACATCCATATGTGCTCTTAAATCTAATTAGTGGTTACTTGGCTTCTGTTATTAGCTGTAGATTTCTTCTTCATTTCATTTTGTTTAACAATGGCTTCATGTAATTGGTTATAGAGGAGAGCATGGTAGTTGAAGAGGTTGTTGGAGATGGTAGAAGGTCAGAGAAACAGTCTCCTCTATCACCTCTCCGAGCTTGAGATGGAAATGGAAGCTTTCCTCGATGAGGTCAAAGTCAAAGATCTTCTTTGATTTTATAAAACAGAGATAAAAATCTTTTCAACTGTTCTCAGGGTTTTTTTTATGTGATTATGGATTGGATATTTGCACAATTTAGTGAAATAATTTATATTTTTTAAATAAAATATAAATTTTAAGGTATCGTAATTTTTTTTAAATATATTTATAGTATCAAATTAAATATTTAAAAGTTTTCATTTTTTTATAATTTTTATGATTTAATTTAACTTTAATAACAAAGTCTGGTTTAATAATATTTTTTTTTGAAAATATAATAATTAATATTTTGTTAGAATTCAATGATTATCTTAAATATATTTTAGATTTTCATATTTAAAATGAAATACTTATCCAGTATTTGATTATGTTTAACAGTTAGTTACACGAATTCAAAACATAAAGACTTAATAAGTTGTATACACGCACAATCTAATTGTAATATTGAATTTTTTAAAACCACAAGGGTGGTGTCTGATTGGTTTGAGTTTGGCTCCAAAGGTCAAAAGTAGTAGGAGATCCCAGGTTCAAATCCAAGGGGGAATAAAAATCCACTTGTAGCCACGGAGGTTCAAATGCGGTGACTCCAGGCTATCTGCAAAGCAGGTGGTCGCCCTGGGATTAGTCGGCTCGCATAGCGGGTTGGATATCCAGGTTAATAAAAAAAATATTGAATTTTAAGTAATATTCATCAATAACATTACTTAATACATAAACAATGTAGCGAGATACATCTCGATTTTAATGTTTCGTTTTTTCTTTGTCTCCATCAATGTTATAATACGATTTTATGTGGTTTTAAGAAAGCGTAATGTTTTTTTTTAAATAAAATACAAATTGAAGATATGATAAAAAATTGAAAAAAAATATATTGATATTAATACCAAACTAACTGTTTAAAATTTCTCCATTTTTTGTGTATTTCTTTAATTATTTTTTTATTTTTGGTTTTATAATATTTTTATTATAAAGATAATAATTAAGTATTTTGTTAAAAGTTAATAATTATCCTAATTATATTTTAGATTTTATATATTTAAAATGAGATATTTATCATTTATTTAATTATGTTTATATGCAATTAGTTACATAAAGTTTTAATAAGTTATACTTATGCACAATTTACTTATAATATTGAATTTTAAGTAATATGCATCAATAAACAATATTTCATAAATAAAAAATATTTTATAATATAATATAATATAAATATAGATAATTAAAATATTTAAATAATATTTTAAAAGAAAAAGGTAAAAGCACGCTGACAAAGACCATTTTTTGTATTTATGTATTGCCACCCTCTTCATTTTACTACTTGTTTTATTGCCAACAAAAACAAACGAAACATCGAGGCATCGACAACTTTAATTTTTCGATATGATTATTGATTATTAGCGGTTATTACACAAGTCGTTATCGACTCACGACATCGCATCGAAACGTTCATTCATGTTTACTTTATTTGTTTTATGTTTTAAAACTCCTTTAATAACAATTAAAATTATAAAAAAAAAATCAAAAAGTTATTTTCATTTATTTAATTAAGTGGATTAAGTTTGAAAGGAAAACTACAAACAAATAAAAACCTACCCAACAACTTTATTTAATTTGCTTAATTACTATTTTTCAATTATTTTTTTTTTGTCTCCCATTCAAATATTAATTTTTGTGACATAAAAGTTCATATAACCTCATCATGAAACCAAAGAACAACAACTTTTTCATCCCTATAATAATTATACCCCTTATTTAATCATAAATATTGAAAAAAAAAAATAACAACAGGATGGTGCCTGATTGGTTTGAACTTGACTCAAAAAGTCAAAAGTACCAGGAGATCACAAGTTCAAATCCAAGGAGGAATAACTTTGAGTTTATCTATAGGTAATTTTATCTGGTAGTATCTCTTTTTGTTGTTTTGAACCCAACCAACTACGGCAAGAGAATCTTCAACAAATATGTTATATTTTCTCTTTATCTTTTTAAATTTAAAGATTTCTTCATTTTCTGTCTTTTAATCTGTTTTAGATGAGAAATTATCATAAATGTTGGAGCAAACATCCTTAAATCTTCAAAATATCTAAAATAACATAGTTGTTGAAGATACTCTGACTCGTCAAAACGACTTTAAGTTGCAAGATAACAGAGTCATAAATATGTTAAACATTTAATTTCTAAATTAGAATAAAAACTAAACTAAAATAATAAAAAAAAGGGGAAAATAACTGAATAAACTATTTAATTATATCCTCAGAAATACAGTAGCTTAAACATGCTCATAAAACATCAACAATTCATCACTCAATTCATGTCATCATCCAAAGTTTGAGAAATGAATATGTGAAGATTGCACCATTTGCAAATCCGTCGTCGTTTGGCACGAATTTTCATCACTTACCATTGCCCTACAAGACCATAGATTTATATACAAACTAATTCAATAATCTTCGTAACGATAATAATGGGCAAATAAGTAATTTCAGAAAAAAGGATTCGAGACGTTACTCGCGTGGCCGAGACGCCCAAAGCGAACTCAAGGCTCGTAGGCGACCGTAATACTCGCTAATCACCAAGAAACATTTCGCCGCTTGTCGAACCGTCAATATCCGATGCAATTGATGAAGCGTTTGTTGTCTTAAATTATCGGCCTATAATCAATTATTTCAGTGTTCATAACATTAGATACAATAATCCGTAACCAAACAGAGACACATGTTCAAATGAGAATGACAAAACTGTTATAAGCGTAGATCATCTCATCTGACGGTTGAGATCTATTACCACATTTTCAATCTTTCTGTCATTCTCGTTTGAACTTTGCTCTAAGTAGGTTATAATAGATAATAATGTTTGTTTTGATATGTTTACCTGGCGAACAAAGCCTTCGAGATTCGTAAGTTTTCCGAGGGCAACCGCCATATGGTGGACCCCATCGTTCACAGATCCGCTAGCGATGGTGTCTACCAACGACTGATGTAGTTGATCCAACCCTTGCGTTAACGCTTCTTCCGCTTGTTGTGATGACTGTTGCAGGCTATAAATCCCCACAACTTGTTGTTCCGTAAGCGGATCAAGTTGAATCGACAACATCTGACGGATAAACCATGATTGACTTTTCAAGCTATTGTACTTATTCATAAACTATCGAAAAGATATTGTAGTTTGTTATGACGAGAAAATGCGAAACCTTGATAAGCTCGGAGGGCCGAAAACCGCCCATCCAGAGGAAGCATCGTTCCGCTGGGGTAGTCCACATGCCAGTAATCAAGTGGAAGACATCGGATTTAGCCGCCACGGTCTTCAGCTGGAAAATCTCGTCATAATGTGCGACAAAGCTATCTACTATAACACGAAGATCACCATCTGATAAATGTGATTGCAATCCTTTTCGCAACTCGGCCATATGTCTCTGGTCATCGTCAAGCCATCGTGTGTATTCCATGTCGAATATCGCTGCACCTGCACACACGGGATCCAAGACCATCTCGGATGTTAGTTGAAACCAAAAATTGTTGCAATTTTTATGCAATCGAATATTTAACAAGACTCACCAGAACTAATGTTGCCTCCACCACCTCCACCTCCCAAGAACATCCCCTATATAACATGACCATTTTCGTCACTAAAACGATACAATAACATATAAAAAAAACAAGAACGACCCGAATGGCCAAATACATCACGAATTCCCGATTCTGGAATCGAAAGATTAACTAAATAAACCTGTGATCGAGCACGTTGAAGATCTTGTTCCAGTTGAGTTAGCCTTATTCTGCTAGATTCGAGCTGCTGAACATATGCCTGCATTCACATGTGAATCGTTATGATCTCAGTTTAAATGCACCTGTGAATAGTTATGAATAGTTTGATGATTCAAGAAACCTTCTTCCTGAGCCTGCTTTTTCTTGCTGCTTCTCTGTTTTGAGCTAAACGCCTCAACGTCTGTAACAAAATCAAGTTCAAATATTTTCAATCACCCTTTCATTTCTTCAAGAAACAGTAAATAAACATACATATGAGTGATTAACTTTTCGAATCATCATCATATGTTATATATTATTATATTTGCAGTTAAACTATGAAGAAACAAAACACTACACTATGCTTGGATAGCAAGAACGGTGATGATTTTGGTACTTATATTTCCATAATTTGCTAAACATTTTTGCAAATTTCGTGTTTAATTGATATTCTTTTACAAAATCGATGGTTCAAAAAGTCAATCAATCGAGTTTTCTTTATATTTATATAGCTGCAAGAACCTTGACATCCAGTGGTTTCTCTGATGTTGAGCCAATTCCCTTCTTCTGAAACAATGAAAGCCAAAAGAAAGTAAAAAATTACCTTTTTTTTATTAATTTTCAAATATTTATTTTTTAAATATACACCCATCATGGAGGCAAATTATCATGTTAGGTGTAACAACTCGTCCCACATTGATAGAATGTGAGAATTGTTAACTCCTTATAAGTCTCAAGTAGTGGGCTWTCAATAACTTCCACCATGGTTTTAAGTTGGATTCGAAGTTATTGACCTAGTTCGTTGCTTTGGGCTTTGGGGTGTTACAAGTTGGTATCAGAGCCGATCCTTGTACCATCGGGATGGTGGGGCGAACCTCATCGGGTATGATGAGTCCTCAAGAGGGGGTGTTTGTAACATCTTAGGCAAATCCCACATTGCCGATGACAAGGAGGAAGATTTTGAATAAGTCTGACGTCAGGAGTTTAAGTGGGGGTAGTTTGTAACAACTCGTCCCACATTGATAGAATGTGAGAATTGTTAACTCTTTATAAGTCTCAAGTATTAGGCTACCAATAACTTCCACCATAGTTTTAAGTTGGATTCGAAGTTATTGAGCTAGTTCGTTGCTTTGGGTTTTGGGGTGTTACATTAGGTTTGAACCCTTCCCCTAGACTCTTTCCCTAGAAGGGTTTAGGCTGGTTCTTTAGTATTTTTGTTGTATCTTTAAGAAAGATTTTATGATTTTTTATTGAAAAGTTTTGCTCATTGCAGGTGGGTATATATAAATATATAATCAAGGAATAATTTGGTAATCATTAATCTGAATGATAAATACATACTGTTTTTTGGTTTTTATGTATGTATAAATGCCGTTTAAATGAATAGTTACCAAGGTTTTTCCCCTCTAATTATATATGATAACAAAAATGTTTTACATAAAAATGTTAAAAATATAATTTAACAGTGAAGTGACATGTGTTATATTAAATCAAATCAAGATGAGGGCTCCAAATAAAGGAACAAGTTAAACTGGAAGTTTTGGGGATTTGAGTAATCATTACTATAAAAAGATAAGAATGTAACAAGAGTTCTTGGGGGGAGTGAATTGAGATGGCATTACTATTATCAGATGCAACCAAATTCACTATTTAAAGATGAAATTTACACAAAAGATTCTCTCTCTCTCTCTCCACCATTTCATGGTGTGAAAATAATTTGATGTAAAAGAAACCCAAGATGCCCATAGTGGCCTTATAGAAGGGAATTAATTGATATATACCCACTTTAAGACTAACATGTACGTTGCTCCTAATTAAAAGGGTATTGTGGGAAAGAAAGCAAGATGACAAAAGGGCATTATTCTAAAATGATATTGGTCAGGTTTAGAAGCTTAAAGGTTCGATATATATATATATATATATATATATATATATATATATATTGTATGTATAAGGACAAGAAATGGGGAAAAAGTGAGAAGCATAGGGAAGAAGAAAAACAAACCTTTTCAGAGAAGGGTTTAGGAGCTTGTTGAGAATGTGATGATCCTCCTGTGGTTACAGGACTACCACCTTCACTTTCCATCTCAAGTTGTTGTGTTGGTATCTGAAGATTTTGCAGTTGTTGTCGATAAATGGCTTCTTGTTGTTGTTGTTGTGGATCGGAAGATGCTTTTCTACTGTTACTGCTAATTGGAGATTCTGCTTCTATATGAGAATGAGTCTCTGGTTTGCTTGCAATTGCAGCATTTACTGCTGATCCTGAATCTGTACTTGAATTGCTCCCCTGTTTTTTGAAAAAGAAAAAACCCCAAGAACAAATTACTTGAATTTTTCTTCAAGAAAATCATAAACATGGCTTAAAGATGGAAAAAAGACATCAAAAAACCCAAGAAAAGAGAATTTGCTTAAATGGGTATCTGAAAATACATACTTGATTAACCTAAAAACATGTTTTTTATCACAAAAATGTATTAAAGATTCAACTTTTGAGAAGGAAGTATGGGAGAAATTTTCAAGAAAATAGAATAAAATCAAATTCTTTGATTGAGCCCAAAAAAGGGATAACTTGTTGAGAGAGATTGAAGTTGAAAATTGTCTTTTTACTAGTTATGAGGGTGGAAAAAATGGCATGATGAAATGGTCAAAGATAATTGTTAAGGTAAAAAAGAAGTACTCTTGGGGTTTGATGCACTCTCATAGGCCAAGAAGGGAACATGTCCAGAGTAGCTGCTGGCCTTGGTACTGTCGTGTATAAAGCTGCAACAAAGATCACAACAAAGAAATATCTTTTAGGATCATCTTCAAGAAACTGAGTACAGAAACAGAAAAAAGGAAACAAGAATCGAATTCATACTTTCAAGAACTCAAAGTGGGTAGGAAAAGGGATACCAAATCACTTTTTTCTTTTCCATTTATCTCTCTGTTCTAATGGTGACCAAGAGGAGTAAGTAGAAAAGATCATTATGCAGGTTTTCTATGTATGAGTACTCTACTTGTTATGGATAAACCCCACCACTTTTGACACTTTCAAACCCTCTTTTTTTCTCCCTCACAGACTGGTGTGTGTGTGTGTGTGTGTGTGTGTGTGTGTTCTTGAGGGGTGCAGTTGGTTATGCTTTAGCAAACGTCAGATAAAAAGAGAGCAGAAAGTATGATGCAAATCAAGGAATTAAAAAGCATACGTAATTTGGTTTCATCACTATGGATCTTGTATCCTTGAAGCACAATAGCTTCTTCTAGCTCCCCAAAATCAAAGGCTGATCCTTCTTGATTACTGAGAAACAATGAAGAAAGTGTCAAGAAAAACAGAGGATTACACTACAAAAGAGCAAAAAAGAAAGTATTTTTCATGAAACCCATGTCAACAAGATGGATTTTTTTGGATTAATAAGAACAGAAATGAAAAATATTGTACATGAAGCCTGTGTTAGGAGGATTAAAGGCAGGAAAAACAGAGTATGGCAGGTGTTGATGGTGATGGTGATGGTGAGAAGGTCCTGAGTCTGACAAACCAGTCTCTCCAACTCTATGACTCGCCATGCAAAACCTTCTTTCACGCCATTCTTGATTCAAGATTATCAACTCTGCATATCCAATTGAACATACAAACAAATACCCATATCATGAAACACATAAATAATCATGTAAAACCAACAGAAATCCACAAAATCTCGAGGAACTCACTGTTTTCAGGTAGAGTTGCTTGTTTCAGAACTAAGAGGATAAGGAAAAGTAGTAGAAGAAGAAGAAGAAGATCAAAGCTATCATGTCAAGGTAATATCTGAATAGCCACCAAAGAAAGGTCCAGTCTTTTTCTCAAACATGTCTCTTTCTCTCTCTACTTTCTGTCTCTCTTTTAGCATTTCAACTTTTGATCTTTCATGGCGTCTCTCAATCTTCTTTCTTCTCCTTCTCAATGAAGAAATCTGGTCTTGATTAGGGTTTCCTTATCTCTATCTTCTCAACATGAAAACTAATTTTCAAGATCCTGAACCTCATATAAGCAGAGTACACAAATCTTGTCCTTGCAACACAACCCTTTTCTTCTTCTCCTTGTGGGGTTTCAAGACAAAACAGAAATCAATAAAATAATTCAAGAAAATAATTTAAAGAAATTTGTGGGGTTTGAAGACAAAACAGAAATTAATAAAAAAAAGATTCAAAAAATTTAAATTTTTTTTAATAAAAATTTGAAGAAAATGTCTTGGCAGGACGCCACTAGAGATCACTGACTCCTATTCCACTCTCTAACCGCCTACGTTTTCTCATTGGTTGATTTTTGGGCTCCTCAGAGTATTTGCAAGTACTGGTAATATTTATCCTAAAAATAATAATTAATTAATTAATTAACTAAAAATTTAGGTTTTAAACCAATGGATATGTGCAAATGAGACAAGGTTTTCTTTCATAAAAGGAGGTCTTTTTATGCTGAAAAAGAAGGGTGTTTTAAAGGTTTTCTTTCCCTTTCACAACTTATCATCTTTTCTTTATGAGTGGAATATGTACAACTATCCATGCAAATAGTACAACTTGGCATTTTAACATTTTCATTAACGATTCCATGAAAAAGTAAAATACGGTTTAAAGGGTATCGTTATAGTTAACACGGATCAAAATCAAGATCGAGCGTGATGGTGAATTCTTTTATGGGTTGTATTGATTTTACTGAGTATTTAAGTTTGTAATAAACAATCAGGTTTTAATAAATAACCAATGTTTGTTCTATCAAAACAATTTTGTGTTCTAATTGATAGATGGTTTTAGAAACATAAATAATTATCGAAAATAAACCATTATATATACTTGAAATCGTGTGAGACTGTTAGTTTTCCTGTGAGATTCAGGAAACTATCTTGAAGCTTTTGAATGAGTTTTCCGTTTTATGATCTCGCTAAACTCATACAACAGAACACCAAACTTCATAGTAAAAGCATTGAAGTTTTGCAACAAAACGTTAATCTTAAATATGACCAAACCATTAAGAACACAACAAACCATCACGTGAAAAACACACCAGACCTTCATAAAAATCGTACACAAAACCGTCACAATAGGACTTCAGGTCTTACGAAAAGTGGTTGGTCTCGCCGAAACTCGTATTCCTTATGTTTGATGGCTTATTAGTAATGATATATAGTGATTTACACCTCGGATTTGAAAAAAAGTTCTTGCTGTTTACAGAGCTAAACACGTTACCATTTATTCCAATAATAAGTTTTGTTTGTACTACAGCTTTTTTTATGTATAACGTATAACAGTTAAAACAATAATTCCTTTTAAACCTAAGATTAATATAGTAATTAGTAGTAACAAAAACACATCCAAAATCTTGAAGATGAACTTGTTTGGTATTGTTGATAGGTCAACATCCATTCCTTGTCACTACCTAATACATTTGCCACATCAAGATTCTTTTCCATCAATAGAAGTTTCTTCCATTTATGTCCCTCTTCGATATATAACATTAACTACAACAATATATATACAGACTTGGGATCATGTGAGACCAATGGTTTTTCGTGAGATCCGTAAGACCAATTCTCAACCTTTGGATTAGATTTACAATCGTCAGATCTGAACATTCATAAACGCCACGAAACTTCTCAATAATTACAAAATTGCCACCTTGCAACTTTAAACCGTTAGATCATAAGTTTATAATGTTGATCAATGAACATAAATTGGTCTTACGGGTCTTACGAAAAACCCTTGGTCTCACGTGAACCCAACCCTATATATATATCATTTATTGTATTTCACAATAATCATTAAAAAGATGAATGTATGCATGGTTTCCTATATTTCTAATGAGTTTTACATAGCTTCAATTATTGTTTTTACAATTACAATCGACTTCTTTTACAATATCAAAAACACAATATAATACATCTGTTTTATTTAATATTATGACGGGATTTGTCGACATTTAATGTTCCTCATTTGGGGTTTTATTCCCAACACTTGCCATTGTTTAATCCTGAGTCTCAAAACCTTGCATGCTAATACCTTCTCATTAGAGTGAAGATGTCATTAATCTTGCTATTTATATATGCATATGCATGCATGTATACATATATACATATATTTTCTATCCATCTATATACATCCTCCCACCCCCCACACACACCATGGTTTGTATGTTTTTTTTTATTAACCTGGATATCCAACTCGCTATATGCGAGCCGGCTAATCCCAGGACGATCACTTGTTTTGTAAATAGGCCGGAGTCACCGCATTTGAACCTCCGTGCCCACAAGAGGATTTTTATTCCTCATTAGATTTGAACCTGAGACCTCCTGATACTTTTGATCTTTGGAGTCAAGCTCAAACCAATCAGACACCACCCTGTGGTTTGGTTGGTATGTTTTCTTCATTTTACTTGCGATTATGATTATTTTTTAAATTACATATAAATAAAATTATTTTTATTTTATTTATTAGTATATTCGAGAATGGGATGAAAAGGGTATTAAAGGTAATGGACCCCTTTGTCTTTCAAGAAGAGTTGTATGAAAATAATTTATGTTGTTTTCATCAACCACTTTGGGGGTATTTTGACATTTACCCAATTATTCCTTTTTCTTATAAAACCAATGATTGGACAAGAGGAGTTATTGGACCAAAAAAAAAGTTGAACCAAATATTATTTCCATGGATTAGGTATGCATTTGTATTTGGTACCTTCATTTCTTTATTCTATAAGGTAATAGACCATTTTGGGAAGAGGGCATGTAAATGTAAAATCGGGAATTAAACTGTCTTATAAAAACTGGATACCTTCTTCATTAGACTCGTTTTAAAACTGTAATTTCAGATGCAGACATAACGAACAATATTTGATACGGTTAACCTTAAATGTTATAGGGTATGTATCAACTCTATCATATACCCTTCATGCGTCAAGTGTTTGTATCTTTGGAGGAAATGTTGACCAAATTGTAGGTCAAATCTTGCCAATTTTCTTGATAAACCTCATATCGTTGTATCTATGTTTCAAAAGTCAATATCTTTATATATAAACAATAATAAGATTTTATTTTGCTCAAAGTCGTATCTTCTAAGACATTTTTTTAAAGATAATTACTGTAGAAGATATATAACGGAAACTGTTCAAATGGTTGTACTCCAATGATGGTAACATATGAATCTTGAATAAAATCTATTGGTACTGAGTTACTATGTAGTTAAATACGTAGTAAAAGTCTTACATCAGATTAATAAATCTTAATATTAATATAAATGATAAATAAATGCAAAAACAATATTTGGAGCCGGTGGTGAAATTATGATTTGTATGTAGTATCAAATTATCATTGAAAGACAATTAATTTAATTAAAATTACTTACAAAAATTTAAGATTTTCTTTTTGGTGCATAATTGGTTGGCAAAGTAGGTATGCAAGTAATTTGAACAATTATGTAATGACAAATGGCCAACTTTATTCTTTTTAATTCATATATTATAAAAGAATAAACGTTTTCTAAACTCGTATAATTTTTAGGGGTTGTTTGACATTTATTGAATGATTTAATGCAGAATGATTAAGTGGTCAGAATAATTAGTAGGATCTTATAATATAGTACAAAATAAAATAATTGTTTGGTAATTATTTAGAATGAAATTAGGGTACTGAATGGTTTAGGGAGGCCCAAAATATAAAATCATTCAGAGGATATTAGAATCATTAAGAGACAATTTTTTTTGTCAAACATCCCCTTACTCCATTATTCACACATTAATATCATAATATTATTTCACGACGGTTTTGTAGTAACTTAATGATATCAAAAAGTGGTAGCAAGCTTTTAATTAACTTAAAACTATGATGAAAATTATTGGTAACTCGTAACTAGAGTCTTATAAGAAGCTCATATATCTCATATTCTATCCATATGAGATGAGTTGTTACACTGTCACTCACAATTAAAATCATGTTCCTTTCATCTATGAACCCCCAAACAAAAACCTTTCCAATTTATACAGAAATATTAAAATTATAGACCATTAAATATGTCTTTAAAATCATACATACAAAATAATTTCTTTTATAAACATATAGTTATTTTTTATACAAATTTTGTCTTATAAAATAACATCGAACTTTCTTTACACAACAATATCAATAAAAATGTAGTATTTTTTATGTCCTAAAATAAGTGTATATAATGAAAAAAACATACGGTAATTAAAAGAATGTAGTTATTATATTTTTGAATAAAGTAAATGACAGAGTTACTCTTAATAAGAGAAATAGTAATTAATTTTTTCATCTCATAATTAAAAATAGAATTATTTTTAAAATTAGATATTTATTTTAAAACAAATAAAAATAGAAATATAAACACTTATTTTGAAATGGAGCAAAGAAGTAAATGGTAATGTCTAGGAATAGAAAGAAGGGTAAGGTTTAAAAAATGTTTGGACATATTAAAATGAAGCCAAAAAGGGGAGATTCACTGAGGAGGATCCTTTAGTACATGCAGCAGGGGATCAAAACTGTCAGCCCTCTTGAATTAGTCTTCCAACCAATCAACCTCTTTTAATCTAACACAACCCAACTCAATTTTTTTATTTTTTTTTAAGTTTATTAAATATAACAATTAGTTTTATACAGATAAAAAGTAGATTTGTAAGCTTTTTATAAACTTAAAACTGTAGACAATATTAATAACTTTCATTATCGTCTTAAGTTGAATCAAAAGTTATTGGATCGACCTGTTACTTTAGACTTAAATGTTACACACAGATTTCATAAATGATATATATTTAATAAGTATAAGAGTTTCAGTTATACTGACTGTGTTTAAACATTTGTACTTGTAATTTAATAATCATGATTTTGGTATGTATTTAAAAGGTTTTGCATTACGAGACAGTACATGAAGGTTTTCTTCATATGAATCTCTAAGTTTTTCTTGATCGTATGCATAACTGAGTCAAATTTTGAACATGGTCCACAAGTAGAGAGATTAAATTTGTAGTTTATACTGACTTGGGATCATGTGAGACCAGCCTGTTTTCGTGAGACCCGTGAGACCAACATTTTACACTTGAAACTTCACAGCAAAATGCTGTGAAGGTGACTTTTTAAAACCTTCACAGTGTTTTTGCTGTGAAGGTTCGACTTTTTTTAAACCTTCACATTGTTTTTGCTGTGAAGGTTACGTGTAAAAATGTGGTCTCACGGGTCTCACGAAAACAGGCTGGTCTCACGTGAATCCAACCCAGTTTATACTTCTACAAGTAGCGGAAGTGTTAGTTGTAGACCTAAACAAAAATTTACAGATTTGACCTTTGTATTTGCAGAACATGGTCATAAACTTTTTTTTTATACATTTTGACCTCTCTACAAATTGAGGAAGTGTCACTTACAGATATAGTCATATTTTTTAGATCTACAGAGAGAAATGACTAAGAGATGAATTTGGTTCTTGAAAATGGTTATTCTATTAATTTTCCTTGTATATTTTGATGATTTTTTAGTACTGTGACACAAAATATATTTTTGTTCATAGATGGTCAAAGTTCTACTCAGTTCTACAAGCAGGTCTAATTGTTGTACCTTTCTTAACCATATAACTTGATAAGGTCATCATTCATATCAGACTTTGTCAAAATTACCTCGATCTGATCAAATTGAGACAAGGATACAGCCTTTTTCATCTCGAACATATTCCACGGATTAAATATCCAGTTCTAAAAATAAATACATTTGTTTTTGTTTCTATTATTAGCATTTTTATTAAAATAAAAAAGTAATATATAACTACAAGTACATTTAATGCAAGTAAAAGAAAATAACAAAATATAATGTCTAAATAATGATGCATCATATACAAATACTAAAAAAATTGAGGAAGTGTTTGGTTAGGGGTATTAAACAGTAATAAATGAGAATGAAAAAAATAAAAGAAACTGTTTTGTTTTCTATAATATAATGGACTCATTCTTCCACAAGTCCAAAAAAATTTCATGGTTAAACCGGGGGGAATGAAATTCATTCTCATTTTCATTCCTCACAGTGTCTAATAAAACAAGTCTCCCTCAATACTATTTTCTAAGTCAGAATTCACCGCTTATCTTAATAATCACTATTCAAATAATATTTGATTATAAGTTTATAGGTTAATGGGTCCAATGAGTTATTCAGTAAGCTATATATATAAGTCTTTATTCGAGACTTAATTAATAAGCCATTAACTTAATAGATTTGAGCCACTATGGTTATGTTTTGTCCATTAATCCTATATTCTTCTCGTCTTACCTCTCTCCACTTTACCAGTGATCCCCATATGTGTCCACAATTCCCGATCCTCCATCTCCATCCTCATCCCTACTCTCATCTCCGCCAACAATATTTTCTTTTCGTGTCTTAAAATGATATATTTCTTATTTTCATAAATATAATTAATTAATTAGTACGATACATATTTTACTTTTATATGTATAATTCGTCAGGTTCAGAAACATGTTTAGGGAATTCATGTATTAGCCATCCCCGGTTTCTAAATTCCAGAATTCCCCATCTATGTCGTCATCCCAAGTCAACTTGAGGATTTCTCGATCAAGTCAGTTCAGATATCGGAATCCCCACCAGCCCCTTTAACGACAACACGATTATTCATTTATTACTTATTTAATATTTCACTTGAATACATTTTTCACCCACACAATCTATTCATTAGAAAGGGTTGATGAAAAACATAGAAGATGCAACTAGCCTTTTAAAAAAATATTATTTTAATAGTTTATTTATCAAGCATAAAATATATTTATGATATTACAAAACAATTATTTAAAAATAGATTTGACATTATTGATATTACTAAATTCAAAATAAGACAAAAATACCCTCCTTGTATAATTTAAAGGGCTCTTTGTCTTCTCTCTCTATATAAAATAACAAGAAGGTAGTTGAGAAACTATGCTACTCCAATACCTTATATAATATTTACTTCCTTTTTAAAATAATAATAATAATAATATATTAAATTTTTGGATAATATTTAATTTTCGATTTAGATTTTTCTAAATTCACGATTCAATCAATTTATCCATTAACAATAATCACACGATATGATATTAATTTGAGTTTTGAATTTGATCTGAAGCTATTTTTATTTATCTATTTATCTTCACCTATCTCATTTCTCTCTCTATATATGGATTATTATACAACTTTTTACATTTGTACAATCAATACCACTCAATCTCAATCGTCCATTTAATTTGATGAATATGTAATTTCATAGAAGTTTTGATTGTTTATTAATATAAAGTATTGATCATAATTAATGAACTTTATTCATCTTCCATAAATATTTAAATCATAATAAATAAACTCTCATAATTTCCATAAATATTTCAATTTATTGGATTGCATTGGTTGTACAAATGTGATTGATTGCATTTGAAACAAAATCATGTGTTCATAGGTGAAACAATAAATGTGTAACTTATATATATATACACACACACACACACACACATATACATAGAGGAACGTTCAAATAAAAACCATCCAATTTGTATAAACCGTGAAAACCACATTCAACCAATCATAATTTTTCATTTTTTTCATTTTTTTTTTGTAATTATGAGATGTTGATTAACCATTTTTATTGTGGATGGTGTTAATCATGGATATTATCGTCTTCATTATTTTAATTTTACAGAAATACATGAAACAGTTTCATTAAAATTTCATTAAATATTATATGAAACAATTTCATAACCATATATGAAACAAATTCATCAAAAAAAGTATTATATGAAACAATTTCATAACCATATATGAAACAAATTCATCAAAAAAAGTATTATATGAAACAATTTCACAAAACTAAACAATTTTATGAAAAAATTTCATAAGATCAAACAATGAAATAGATGTATGAGGGTAGTTTGTACGGTTTGTACAACTGAGGGTGGTTTTCATTTGATCACGCACATATATATATATATATATATATATATATATATATATATATATAAAGAGAGAGAGAGAGGAGAGCGTTCAAATAAAAAGCACTTCATTTGTAAAAACCATGAAAACCTCATTCAACCAATCATAATTTTTCATTTTGTTCATTTTTTTGTAATTATGAGAGGTTGATTAACCATTTTTRTTGTGGAKRGTGTTAATCATGAATATTATCATCTTCATTATTTTAATTTTAGAGAAATACATGAAACAGTTTCATTAAAATTTCATTAAATATTATATGAAACAATTTCATAACCATATATGACACAAATTCATCAAAAAAAGTATTATATGAAACAATTTCACAAGATTAAACAATTTCATGAAAAAGTTTCATAAGATTAAATAATGAAATCGACGTATGAGGGTGGTTTGTATGGTTTTTACAAATGAGGGTGGTTTTCATTTGATCGCTCCTCTCTCTCTCTCTCTATATATATATATATATGTATATATATATATATATATATATATATAGGGTTGGGTTCACGTGAGACCCATGAGACCAATTTATGTTCATTGATCAACTTTATAAGTTAACGATCTAATGGTCTAAAGTTGCACGTTGACAATTTTGTGATTATTGAGAAGTCTCGTGGCAATTTTGTGACTATGAATGTTTAGATTGTAGATCTAATCCAAGGATTGAGAATTGGTCTTACGGGTCTTTTATATATATATAGACTTGGGATCACGTGAGACCAAAGGTTTTTCGTGAGATCCGTAAGACCAATTTATGTTCATTGATTAACTTTATTAACTAATGAGCTAATGGTCTAAAGTTGCACGGTGGCAATTTTGTGATTATTGAGAAGTCTCGTGATAATTTTGTGATTATGAATGTTCAGATTGTAGATCTAATCCAAGGGTTGAGAATTGGTCTTACGGTTCTCACAAAAAACCTTTGGTCTCACATGATCCCAAGTCTCTACATATATATATATATATATATATATATATATAGCAAACTCATGTGTTCATAGGTGAAATAGTAAATATGTGCATAAGTAAAAATGAAAAATAGTGAAACAGTGAATGTGTTCATAAATGAATGATATGTATCAATGAACAGTTTTTGAAATCCCATTAGAAATCATGTAACCTACATTTAAATGCTTTAGAGTAATAGAAAAATTACCAAATTGTCCTTCCCAATAATTACAATGTGATACATGAACAATGACATTAGATGTATTCCTATTGGTTTAGAGAGTTAATATCGTTAATATATGGATTAGTTAACAAAAGATACTAGCTCTATAAATATCAATTTAACCGGCTTGTTGACCAACGTGGGAGCATCATATGATGCTTTTTTGAAGAAAAAAAATCGGTCATAAATGGTTAACCATAAGTGACTCGATAACCGGTCATTTAGACAAAACGTAGCTGATAAGGACCGACCGGTTTTAACTCGTCCTTATCGTTCCCTCTTTAACGGGCCAAAATGTAACATGTTCTGATCCGCATCGGGACTTTAACTGGTTTTGGGGCGTTCATGCCTACCTCTTATCTTAAAACATATAAATATGCAAGATCCTTCTCAAACTTGGGTATATGATGTGAGGGTTCATTTGGTACAAAATTATGCACCAATTTGTGTTCAAGAAAACTTGACTATGTACACTATAAACACAAAAATTGTGAACCAAACTATAAGGGTGGTGCCTGATTGGTTTGAGTTTGGCTCCAAAAGACAAAAGTACCAGGAGGTCCCAGGTTCAAATTCAACACAAGAACATTTGAATAATTATAGCCATAGAACAAACCTTAGGATCCATTGCAGCACAGTAGTTACTAGTTAAGTTACCTGCAACAGATGCCACAAAGATCATATTAACAGAATTCGAAAAAGAACGGGTTTTGAGTATCGCTTCCGAGGTCTGTTTAGAGAAAAGACCACACAAAAGCTTGAATCTTGAAAATAATCTTGAAAAGAATCTTGAAAACTTTTATTCATATACAAACTGAACATCCACATGAAGGTATTTTCTCATAAGTTGAACAATTGATGAAGTAAAACTGGCCAACATATGGCATTCTACATGTGTTTTTGACTCGGAAACAACCCCACGAATTATCAACTTCTTAAGATTCGGACATCTTCTAAGCAGGCATGCAACCCAATCTGCAAAATGCTCATCAAGAACCGTCCATCCAAGATCCAACACACTCACATTCTCCATTGGAGACGAACCTTGCAAACTATAATGAAGAATGCCCTCTTTTAAGTCATCTCGTAGGTCATAACTCAATGCAAGATAGCTTAAATCAGGAAAACATAAAGCAATCGACTCCAAATCAACAAACTCTATCTCATCATCAAAGACCACGTTCCAAAGGCGAAGCCTTCTCAATTTGGAAGATTTCGAGATTATTTGATAAAACTTTGACCAAATGATCGTGAAATTGCTCACATCAACGATCTCAAGACCATCCACGGGCTCAACAATGTCAAGATGTAGAATACTAACATCATCCATCTTGAAATGCTTCAGAGTACCCTTGCCACTTAACTCAAATAGCTCAAGAGCACAATCTTTTAAATGCAATTTCTCAAGATTATCGGCTTCTAGAGTAAACTTGTCTAAACTTATGGCTTCGACATACACTTTCTTTAACGTTTGACTACTCAATTCGACTGTAACCTGAGCATCAGTGATGGCAATCTCCGGACTTATAAGACCCAAAAACTCAATGTTAGGACAAGCTGTGAGTAATAAATTAAGATCCAATGATGAAATACTAACATAACTCAGAGAAAGCGACGTAAGAAAAGGAAATCTTTGATAATTCGGCTCAACCCCAGTGATCGAATTATGAGCCAAAACCAATAGTTCGAGCTTTTGCCGTCCACAAATGTCAAGAATGTTGACATTTGGAGTGGTTCGAACATTATAAAACAAGCAGCGTAACGTTTCTCTAGTATACATCAGCCAAGCAATAACAGCAGAAGCCGAAAACTCGTCAACATCATCCATTAAAATGGAGAGACCTTGTAAACCTTTGGTTTGAAATATAGTCTGGGTGATCAATATCTCGAGCCTACTAGTTGTAAGATCCCTGAAAACCGGCCAATCATCGGAATTGAATGACAGCATATGAAGATGCCTATGACAAGCCTCTCGCCATTTCTTACATGTAGCTGAAGCAATTACAACATCTCTGGCAGCCCCAAGATGGGAGAGTATGTTGCCAATTACTTCAACAGGAACACGATCCATAGCAGTAACAGCTTAATAATCTTTGAATCACACAAACAAGTGAAGTATGAACCCTAATTCTATAACAGGAAAAGACTAAGAATAAGGGGTCTGATGGCAATCAAGAATTCAAGATAAGCATCGGAAACAATGATGAAAACGCACATTGTGATAAATGATGATCACATTGGAAACAGTGGAGGAAAATTAGAAAAACCCTTTTTTTCGAGAAATCATGGACGCCAATTGAAGAATGTAGGTATAGAAACAAGAGGGGAGAAGTTAATAGATTGGAGAAGGGTATTTTTGAACCTGATTTCTAGATAAAAACCCATATACAGAATTGAAAATTACAGAAAATTGGATGGAAAAAAGGAGGTACCGGAAAGAGACGATGAATATGATGAAGAGGCGACGGTGATCGGAGTTTCTGCAAGGGAAAAGAGATCGGAGTTGGTGGGGATTGGCCCCAATCGTATTGGCGAGAGGCGATTCGCCGTGGGCTAACCCGGGGGTCAAATGACGCGACCGAGTCCGTCTCTTGTTCCTTGGAGTTGAACGTTCGGTAACGTCAAATGCTCACCAAAAGCTCCCTCAACTCGTAATAACTTATTTCTATTAAATAAATTTTGTATCCAAGGATACTTTGTGAGTTTATCAGGTTCAGATAACATTTGTTATCTCACCGGGTGAGCATGTCAAGTATTGAGAAAATCATACATGTTTAAAAGTCGATCGCTTTCATTTTTTCGATGTTAATGTATAATATTTTGTATATTAACGACATTTTTCTTGTTTTCTTAAATAGTTAACGTTTTTGTTTGAACCTTACTTAATATCCATATGTTAATAAAATATCATCATACGTGATTGTTTCAACAAACGTTTTCAACCCTCCATGTTTTTATCTAAAATAATTAAAACAATTTAAAAAATATAGATATAAGAAGAAAGGTCAAAATATTATTTTTAAATCTAAAAGATAATAAATCTAATTTTTTAAAAATATATATTTAATAATAAATATAAATATACAATATATTTAATATACGGAGACAGGGGACGGGGCTAGGATCAAGTTACCTGGCCCTAGCCATGTCCACGTCCACATCCACATCCACATCCTCTGTTTTTAACTTTCAGAGATCCCCATCTATGGTCCCGGATTTTGTGGGGAATCCCCGGCCCCGTCAGGACGGGTATACCAGATTCCCCAATTGGACAAGTCTCATTCTAATATCTAGGCATCTTAAGTATCAAGATTCTTATCAACACAAATTAAACATTATTCGAATAAGAATGCAATCTGGGTAACAAATTTGGTCTAGGTAAAACATCGATTCAAAATTGCTATTTACCAAGTATTTTGTAGCAACGGGTTACCGATTAAAACGATTTTGGGTAAGCACTGTTGTCCGGTTCAAACCGTAACAAATTGGTTTGGTTTGCAGTTTTATTCAATCAAAAGTCTAGGTAAACAAGGGTATTCACAAACAGACCCACCACACCTCTCATGATGAGATCATCATGGGAAAGGTAAATCGGCAGATGCATCTCATTAGTAGAGGCTCGAACCTGTGATCTCACACATATGGATTATAACACCCAAATGTCGAATTTGAATCCATGAGCAACACCCTCCTCTTTCATTCCCTCCACAAATGTTGGAAGCAAATGGTGTATAATTATACACAAACATCATTACAAGATGGTAAGAAAAACAGAGTAAAATTTAAGCAAAATAATGAGAATTGGCTTTCTCTGCAAAGTTGAAGGATCTAGTTCTGGAGTGGGGGATAGGAATGCCACAACCAGTTTGATCCAAAATAATGAACACTTATTATCAACATTCATCATAAAATTTGTCCTTTTGAATATCCCAAAAACAGGAAGAAACAATCACATATGATGCCCACTTTATTCGGTTGGCCTCTGTCCCAAAACAGAAATGTCCTCGTAACGTTTCTGCATAAAGACAACCCATATGTTAGAGATATAACAAACATGTAGAACCCCAAAAAAGGATAACAGTAGTACTTGGATGGACTTGATAAAAGTAAACTCTGACCAGTCAGCCAAAATAACATCAGCCCCAAACAGAAAATGAACCTGTCCCATATGCCTATCTTCTGACTCAGTAACACTATTGATCTAAGAGCAAAAAGTGGATGCAGCAACGAGTGTGAATTAACTATACAATATATATTGTGTTTATGACCATGGAGGTGAAGGGTTTTGAACTACAGAAGATAAAGGGATTATGACACCAAGGAGGCAACTCATGAACATAAACATTTCATTAGAGAAGGGTTGGGGAAAGATAAAAATGGAAGAGAAAAAACGAAAAAAAGGTGTGACATCATAAGCGAGCAGACATATGGTGGAGGCTATGATAGAATAAGGACTCTGTTCTGAAAACAACATTCCTAATTTTCTCAAGTAAGAACTGCTTGCAGGAAAGATGTGAAATATGGAATTTGGTGATGTCTCTCTGATGCAATTTGTGTCTAAATAGCATCGTGACAACTGCGTGTGATTTCTTTTCCCTCTAGCTAATTGTACATTAATGCAGTAGGCTATGCGTCCTTCCCCTCCCCTAGACTGTCATAATTATGTTTACTTCACAAGTTCCATTCTTAAATATGCTTTTCTAGAGTTTGATCTGACGTTAAAAGAAAGACTCGTGAGACACTCCAGAACTTCTTCATACAATTGCTGCAATTTTAAAATATTCAAGAACCCAAGACCTTGATTTTACTTTTAGCAAGATCGTGAAAACAAAAGTCATATCCTTCAATGATGGTCTGCATTAGCATTACTAGAACAATATATAAATAAACTATACAATTATTCAGTCAATTAAAATTTTCTTACTTATTGAAACTTCTTGGTGTAAATGTGCATGCAGGCAAACATTATATTCTAGCATGTTGAAACAATTTAGCATAAAAAACAAAGCAAAAGTAAAAGAGAAAAAGCATATCCAACAATACTGAATAATATTCAATAGCCAAACCATTCTTCTATCAATTTGTCTATGTGTAATACACCAAATTACTTTAAGAGTTCCCAACCTTATGGGTGACTTGTTCCATAAAACCTAAAGAATTAAGACCTTGGTTGTGTATTGTGAAACCTAAAACTCGGAGCAGAAGTCAAATGCATAGTAACCATGACTTGCATTTCGCACCAGTTGCAAACATAAAAAAAACATTTGCTTAGCTGTCATGAGTTGCACCATTTCCTAACATTAAAACGGTCTAAAACATCTGACAGAATCTTAACATATATAAAAGAGTGGGGCTTGTGAGAAGTAATTTGGTCCATTGTCGATTTAGAAAACAACAGAAATCACAAAATGCATCATAGAAATAAAAGCTGGACATTACCCCAATGTTGTTGTTCTCCCAAAGTTTATGAACTCCATAGTCAACTGCCTGAAACACGTAAATCAGCACAGCACCATCAGTCAATTGCATCCGATTGTGCATTGGTTTATACAAGGAACTCAGTTAAGAAATGGAATAACCAACTTGCACAAATTGATTACACTAATAACCCCTTTACGTCAACAGACAAAAAGAGAATAGACCAAAAAAGGATTTGGAAACTGCATTCATTCCAAGGTAGAATTCGATAGCCACATCTGTGTTTCTATTTCTCTCTTATTAACCAATTATCACACTCAAAGTACAAAGAAAAGCACGGTAACTTTATTCATCCTTCTCGATTTAAAAAGACTTTACGGTTTTGGTTTCTCTCAATACAAACCCATGTTTTAGATCTTCTAAATAACTAGAAACCCATTTATTTTTCATTTCATACATATTTAGTATAACCCTTTTAACATCCAATCCCTAGTAAGCAAACTGGCCCAATAACATCCAAAACAACCAAGTTGAAAGCTATTACTAGCCCATCACTAAGGACTTGCAAGAAAACTGACAAGTCACAATTCATATCACAGTCGAACTGAGACAGAATGTCATGCAAGAATCATCATCCAGATGAGATACATGACCCACCAACTACCCTGAAGGGCCATTGATACTGTTTGCATTTTGCAACGCTCCAAGTTTATAGTAAAAAGTTATTGGTAACTTAGTACCAAGAACTCAAAAAGGGAATTGAAAAATGTGGTATCAGATGGCACAACCCTACACTTCACCAAAATGTTCTCCCCTCATAATCACTAAGGCAATCAAATTTCTGTCAGTTCAATTTTGTTTCTTTCCCTGGCTATATATCACAAACTGATTGCTCGTTAGCATCTGTAAATTCTATTCGTACAAATCCTTTTAAGATGTTAGTAGCCTAAACGTGAAAGCTGTAAACTACTTCCTAAAATCTCCTGTTTTTAGCACAAATGAAATTGTGATGGAGATGGTGGTTTTACATATGACAGTTAGTAATCCACAAATAAATCAGATCTACAATGACAATTAACTAAGTGAATATTCAAGCACAACCCTAATATCCTGGTTGATCAACGGAAAATAAAATCGATGAATATACATATCAGTGTGTGTCATATAAACAAACATATATTAGACTAGGGGGAATAAGAACCCTAACCCGTTCACCGACAAAAGCACCGGCGATGACGAAAGTGACGTAGACAGAATTACGGCGCATAAGGACTTTGTATAGTCCTTCGAACAATCCTCCGGTTCTCCGAACTGCCGCACTCATGGTGATGGTGTGACTGTAATCTGTATCTCTCACTCTTGTCGACGGATCGGCCGATCGGAGAAGAGATGCTGTTGGGTTTTTCGGCGTGTCTAGGTTACTGACGCTTCTTTTTCTTACTGGGAAATGGCAATTCAGGATAAAACCGAAACCCGATCCGGATCCATTGCTAAACCGATCAGATCCGACTATTCCGGTCTAAAAACACCACATGAGTTATTTGTTTACCTTTTAATAGTTTCATTAAAAGACATATGAATCATAAAAAGATAAATCTTGTTTGACAAAAAAAAAATCTGTTTCATAATGGTTCTGAAACCCTCTGATGATTTTGTATCATAGATCTTTCTTAACTGTTAAGAACCCAATTTCATTGTACACAATTACCAAACAATTATATTTTATTTTACACTATATCATGAGAGTCTCTTAATCATTCTGACCACTTAATTTTGTACCAAATCATTCAACAATTACCAAACAGTCCTGTAGTCACCTCTATCCCAATTGTCGTTCTATTTTTCAATTCTGAAATTTTATTACCAAATAAAATTATTTTTTTACAAAAAGTTAATAAGTAATAAATATTAGTGGTCGTTGACTATAAATTTATCAGATAAATATTTACCCGTTGTCATTTATTTTATAAGACGAATATTATAGGGTTCGATAGTTTTACTTAGTAAAAGGTATAATAATGATCAAAAGATCTTGCTCGGTATGAAATAAATGTATATTAATCAACAATCAATAACAATAAATAATAATTGATAACAATTAACAAGTATATTTGGAATGAAATGGCAGAAAGTTACTAGAACTTATTGAAACATTTTTCTAAGTATCATTTTAATAAGCTGGATTTTCATCTAGTTTATGAATAGTTAAAACATGACTTTCTCAATAAGCTTCAAATATGAGCTAGCTTATATTTGTCAAATCAAATTTGATGTGCATCTCTGTTGTCTTTAAGACTTTAAAGCAAGTGCAAAAGATTCTCCCAAATTAAAAAATGAAAATTTTTGACAAAAAAATTTAAAATAAAATTTTCAAAACTTTATTTAAAATTGAGAAATAAAGAGAGAAAATTAGAAATTCTTTGAATTTGGAGAAATTTCCATAAATAATTATTATGAGAGATAAATAGCTTTCTAGTATTTCTGAATCCTTTAAATTAAATGTTTAACATGAAAAAATAATATTTATTATTTTAAGAATATAATTAATATTTTAATCTTTGAAAAAACTGTTGAAATTGAATATGATAATTTCTTTTGATTAAATTTAAATTTAAATTTGATTTTTATTCTTATTTTGAAAAAAATATTAAAAAAATATAAGTGTAAAATTAACTAAGCCAACTTTTAATTTAGGGGTTGTTTGATTGTTTTTTATTATCTCTTATTTATATTATATTATAAAGTATTTGACAAAAACTTTTAAAAACTATTTTTTATATGTAAAGTACTGTTTATTAATACATATTATTTAAAACTCAAGATTACAAATAGATTGTGTATAAGTACAACTTATTAAAGCTCCATATCTGAATTCGTGTAACTAACTACAGATAAACATAATCAAATAAATGATAAATATCTCATTTTAAATATAAAAAATCTAAAATATAAATAGGATAATCATTGTGTTCTAATAGAATACTTAATTATTATCTTTATAAAATGTTATATTATTAAACAAAAAATAAATTATTTTTTATTAAACTTAAATTAAATTACAATAAAAAAATTAAAGAAATTACATAAAAATGAGAATTTTTAAATAGTTGATTTAATATTAAAATTGATATATATTTTTTTCAAATTTTTATGATATCTTCAAATTAATATTTTATTTAAAAATAAAATCATTATTACTTTTTTAAAAACACATAAAATCGTATTATAACATCGACATTTGATAGAGACAAATAATAAAATAGAACATTAAAATCAAGATGTGTCTCGCTGCATTGCACGAGTACTCTTCTAGTATTTATAAAATTGTTTGTATATAATTTAGAAGATTTTTGTTTTGGAAAATATTTTCCTAAATAAAAGTATTGTGTTTTTCAATTGAGATAGATATTAAAAAAATTGTCTTTCTGCATAAAGTTCTCAGTGTAAAGGCTTATTAAATAAGCCGTCACTTTCTATATAATAAAGTCATTGTCAAACAGTTTTGTTAGTTAAACCGAATAAGTTGTGAGTCTTGTTAATCTCCATTAAGAGCATATTCAACAGATTATTCAAATTTTATCTAAAATGGAGGCTCAAAAATAAAAATTTCCAATAAATATTACACTTATCTCTGACATATTCTACTTTTTTGATAATAATTAGACATTCGGTTAGCAACTCAATGATTATCTTAATTATATATTAGATTTTTATATTCAAAATAAATATTTATTATGGATTTGATTATGTTTATCTGTAGTTAGTTACACGAATTTAAAAATGAAACTTTAATAAATTGTATTTACGCAAAATCATTTATAATCTTAAATTTTAAGTGATATGCATCAATAAATAATATTTCATTCATAAAAAATAATTTTTAAAAATTTTTATTAAAAATTTTATAATATAATATAAATACTTACATATAATATACTTGTAATTTTAAATTTGAAATAAGAGATGATGCTATTTGGTAGCCCTAAGTATAACAGTAGTACACGATTTGCTTCAAATCTAATGATTCATCTGCAAAGATACCAAACTCCACCGCCCACTATAAACCAACCCTCCTCATTTTGCTTTAAACCTCTGCACCTGCCTGCCTTCCATCCATTCCTCCGCATTTCTCCCTATAATCTTCTGTAAGTTTCTTCACCAACTCTTTCTTTGCTTCGATTTATACCCTTTTGATCATCATATATATACATGATCAACGTAGTTAATGCTAGATCTTCGTCATCGATCTTTCTGGTTATTGTCCTTTACCTTTTGTTTGTTCTCTCGTTGTTCGGATTTATGTGATTTCTTTAGGTGTGATTACGCTATTGATGGTTTGTATGTTTGAATTTTGGATGGAAACTGTACGGAGTATTCAACAAAAGTTGAATTAGTTCTGTCTTCTGTGTTTTTTAGATGGATCTGTTCCTAGTTCATGTCCTCTTGATGAAAAACAACTTCTGTTGTCAGGGAATATGCTTACACGAGAATTTGATTAAAAACAATGAAAACCGTAGCTCTCTGTTTCATTTTTTGTTCTTCTTTTTGTAGTTTAATCATTCACAGTAATACACTGACTTTGATCGATTCATTATAAGTGCAGCGATTTGAGGTAAATCTGTGTTATGTTCCTCTACTACCAGAAAGGATTTACAAATGGTAGTTGTACCTTAAACCCTAACCCAAACTTTATGCGTCCCATGTGATTGAATTAGCTGAAATCATTTTGGTTGATTGAAAGAATAGTTTTTGTTGCATTGTCAAGACAAATTCGTTGTCAATTTACATGTCTTGCCCCTTTCTCTAGATTTTCTGTGTTTGTCTTATTGGGCAAGTAAGTAGGGTCTTAGATGTACTCGAAATGAAAGCTAAACATCCAATTTCTCAACCACCAGATCCTTATCCTCTTATTTCTTCATTGTAATGATGATTTAATAAACTCACCACTGCACTTTTGCTTGCTGAAAACCAGATATTTGAGATGAATTTACTTGTGACTGTAAAATTTGATTTTTTCCTCCCCTTTCCGTAGCATCGTTATCATCAGTGTCATATCTTTTTTCTAGAGTTGTTCATGGGTATTGCCTAAGGGGCCGTTTGGTTGGGTTTCCATTAAGTCTTGTATGGATAAATTTGTCTGTGTGGATTAATCTGTTTGTATAGATTGTGAAGGTTTTGTTTCAGGAGGGTTGTTTCATAGATGAAAGGAGTGTGTTTTTTTTAATTGGGAGGGGCAGGTTTCGAAATAATTTGGCTTTCTGCATAAAGCTTCCCCCCTAAAAGCTTATTGAATAAGCCACTTTCTATATCATTAAGTCACTACCAAACAGTCATATATAGCTGACCGAACAAGTTGTGAGTCCCAATAAACTCATTAAGCAGCTAGCAAACCGGCCCTAAGTCACTCTCAGTTTGTGGTTTCTCCTTTACCTTCACCCGGTGTTCAAAAAATCTCGGCGCAACAGCCACCATGGCACACTGTGACTTAAGGCTTGTGTCTCATGCCACGTTGGCCTGTGGCATGCCATGACCTAATGCGCGGTTTTTATAATGCAATATTTGATTTTTCTTACTTTTTTTAATGTCTTATTTGTTAGTTTATAATGTATAACCTAATTTAAATTATTTAATATATTGACTCACTGAATGATAGTAGAAAATATATGTTTATATGTACAATAATCTATTTGATATAAAAATTTGCCGCCATAAGTCATGCCTTGAAAAATGTCGTGGCCTCGCCATGGCTCGTAAGATTTGAGGCTTGACCTCCGCCATGGCAGGTGTCTATTTCTCGCCATGGCTTGTACGGTGAAGGTAATGCTGAAGAAGTGTGTTTACCTCTATTTCTCACCTTTTAAGGTGGTACATCTTGTTTGTGATGATGTCCTCATATGCAGTCCTCAGATTATGATATTGAGGTTGGAGGCTCCTTCACTAATTGGCCTTGATTATCTGAGAGGAACATTTCCTTGAAGGAGGTTCCAACCTTATTGTGGGTACCGTCTAATTCTTTATGTTTACATGCCGAAAATACATTCCATATGTAAGTGGATAGCATGAACTTGGAGCAAGTTTCTTTTTGATTCACTCTGTGAGAGTTGAGACCAGTAATATGGTATTCCTTTGGTTCGATCTGGTCTTTAGTCATAAAGAGGTTGGTACTTTGTCAAGGTTATGAAACAACAACTCTTTCACTGAATGATAATAGGTATGTCTATATATCTTATTTTATATATCACGTCCCCTTCTATTAGAAAACTTCTCGTTAGTTGAGGATGGAAGAAGCAGGGTTTATAAGCTAGTCAAAACTCAATCTATTGTTTTAGTGTAAAAGTATCTATTGAACTAATGCAAGAGTTGCAAAACATGTCTCCTCAGAAAGAATGCAAAGAACCAAATAAAATACCATTACTTGGATGATGGATGGTGGAGAGACCATTTCCTCTTATAGTGTGATAATAAAGACCTAATGCCTCATTGCCATGAAAGTGAAGCTCTACGTACGTTTGGAAATTTGGTAAATCCAAGCAGACATTGTTGCATAGCGGACTGGACATCACCCATATGGCCTTAAAGGGGAGTCACAAAGTGCCACTTTTTTCCCTTTCAAGGAACTTGAAGTCATTTATTGTGTAGGAGATCAGGCTTATCATGATTTCTTTCATCATGTTAATGGTTATATGACAGTAGACAAAGATCTCGAGTGATTCTGGGTTAAGACACGTTACGTCTGTGTTGGTTGCATGCCTAACATAAGCTGATTTGATACGCTATATATATGCCTAACAAGAACCATGTGCTAACCAAGATTGCAATTTTCATGGGAGAGGAAGTGTATTTGAACTGTGTTTATCGGTTGGTTATTAGTTAATTTTTATAAAGTTCAAAGAGCTTTAAGAAATTGTATGTATGCAGTAATTTGTTGTAAACTTAAAATTTATGGAATATGCATTATTAAGCGGTACCTATTTAATAAGTCGTTTCTAAGACTTTTACTTAATTATGAAAATTTGTATTCAGGAAACCATGGCTTCCATTGGACTTCCTACCCAATGCATGGCCAGAAGTTCACCCCAAAGTCGCAGCCTTCCTGCTGCTTCAGTTTTTCTTAAGCGTGGGTTCTCTCTTCCGTCTATGAAGAGCATCTCGAAAACCTTTGGGTTGAAATCCAGCTGTTCCTTCAGGATAACTGCCATGGCTACATACAAGGTTAAACTGATTGGACCAGATGGTGAAGAGAACGAGTTTGATGCACCCGATGATTGCTACATCCTTGACTCAGCCGAGAGTGCAGGGATTGAGCTCCCGTATTCTTGCAGGGCGGGTGCATGCTCCACCTGTGCTGGGAAGATAGTTACTGGTTGTGTTGACCAATCCGATGGGTCCTTTCTTGACGATAACCAAATGAAGGAAGGTTACGTGCTGACCTGCGTTTCTTACCCGACTTCAGATTGTGTCGTTCATACTCACAAAGAAGGCGATCTTTATTGAGGTAGCTGTGTTTGTTGGTCAAGAATGGAACGTATCTTTGTCGTTTCGGTCCCCAAATGGTAGTTTGTGTGGTTTCTGAGACTAGAAAACTGAAGAAAACAAATGTTGGTGGTTGATGGATTTTTAAGGGTTTGATAATATGGTTGGTGGTATTCTCTTTTATTATAACGCTAACATTAATGAGGTGCGTTGAGACGTATCAGATCAATTCCCTTCTAAAGTATAATTCATAGGTGGGTATGAGATTAAAAGTGATCAAGGGTACAACTCTATTCTTACGTTTTTCAACTTAACTTACTTCTCACACGATATTTCGCTTAATCTCTTGTCCACCCATGAATTGAACTTTTCACGGGAATTGGTCCGGTGCATCTCATTCTAATATGTATCTAAGCATGGAGATCCCTCCTTATGTTTCTCACCTTTAACTCTCATTCTTATTGGAATCCAACCCTATATATGTTGTGTATGTGTATAAACATACAATAAAGACTAGTTAAAAAAAAATATCAAAACCCATGGATCAAATCCACAATTCGAAAATATTATTTCTTTTACATAAACATTTAATTTCAATGTCTTTAGCCGGTGAGAAATGATTAAATATTATTTCTCTTTGACATGTGAAGTTTTAGAGATTTCTTCAAATTTGAAGATTTTCACATCCCTCTTATTTTCTCTATTTTAGCATACAATATAACATAGCTAATGGAGCAAAAACATATTTTAAATTTTCAAAATCATTTATTAACATAGCTATTGAAGATGCTCTAACAATTACTTAAACATTTGCCAAACATATATTTTCAATTTTAAAATTTATTACAATTATATATAATTTCAATAAAAAAAATCAATACTCATAACAAAAGAAACAAAAATGTATTATAATATTATTGAAAAAAAAGAAGATATAATTTAATACAAAATATCTTACTCTCTAAATATACATTTTATATTTTTAATTTAATAGAATTAATTTTATATAATAATTGTTATAGATCGATAAAATTCAAATTAATATTAAGAAAAGAAAAATGAGGTCCACGTGGTAATAAAAATAGGATATTTGAGTTTGGACGTTTAATGTCGGCTCATGTATAAAAATATGCTTATTGTTATTATTCTTTGCAAAATATGTTTACTTCTATATCATTTTCAAAACACCCGTGTTCGTAAATAAAAAGTATGCTTAATGAGTCACCCGATAACTTCTTTGTTTAAGTTCTTCCGATAACCTCGCTATGATCTTGATAGCTCACTCAATGCTTTTCTTATACATTTATAAGGTAACCTACACTGATCTTTCACGCTTTCTTTCCACACAGTTATCTAAAGCAACAGACTAGTCCAATTACTTCAAATCCAACTTAAAACCATGGTGGAAGTTATTGGTAATCCACTACTTGAGACTTATAAAGAACTAACAATTTTCATCTTTCATCCATGTGAGATGAGTTATTACAAAACATCTTATATATTTATAAAACATCCATCGTACCATCAACATGATGTTGAGATTATCTAGAAAGCATAAATGCAAAAGTACCTGCGGGCCTCGTTAATTATAATCTATATATGTTATTTTGAAAACGATATAGAAGTTAAATATAAAATTTAAACGAAAAACATATATTTGATATTTTTAGAACATAAAGCATAGAAACTCAAAGAATGTGGGTTGCCCAAAAGGCACCGACCTTTTGTGGATTTGGATTGCTTGAGCCGAATATCACTTAACACGTGATTCATACCGAGATCCGCGTCACCTTTTTAGGAAAAAAAAAAATATTTATAAAAACATTAATTTTTTTCAAAAAAAATTCAACGGATTTTTTAAAATATTTCTTAAAAATAGAGAAAGTGTAAATAAATAAGATTCTTTAAATTTAGAGAGTTTTAAAAAAGTATTATTTATTGGAAGGAAAATTTATCTTTTTATTTATTTTAATTAGAATGGTATTCGCGTAATGCAGCGGGATAAATCTCGATTTTAAAGTTTAATTTTTATAATGTGATTTTATATGGTTATGAGAAAACGATAATGGTTTTTATTTTTAAATGAAATATAAATTTTATGTGGTTCTGGTGTAACTTTTTTAATTCGATTTTTTTATTATAATTTAATTTAGATTTTATAACAAAGTGATCTATTTTTTGTTTAATAATATAATTTTTTATAAAGATAATAATTAAACATTCTATTAGAACTCAATGATTACCTTAATTATATTTTAGATTATTTATATTTAAAATGAATTTTTATCCTGTATTTGATTATGTTTATCTGCAGTTAGTTACACGAATTTAAAAATGAACTTTAATAAGTTGTACTTATGCAAAATTACTTATAATCTTGAATTTTAAGTAATATGCATCAATAAACAGTATGCATAAAAAATGGTTTTTAAGAATTTTTGTCAAATGCTTTATAATATAGTATAGATTACGAGATTGCTTTAGGGGGTGTTTGTGATTGCTTATTTGAAACAACTTATGCTTTTCTACAAAAACACTTATGAACTTATTATAAGTCAGAAGAGTTTAACTTCTAAAAACTTTATCGATTTGATACCGGTATAAGTCAATAAGTTGTTTTTATAAGCAATACCAAACACCCCCTTAGTTAAAATGTTTGTGGCAGAGAAAAAATATTTTATAAATTATATTAAATATTTTAATAATATAATTAATTATGTAATTTCTAAAAATAGAAGATCTGTTGGAGACAAAAGTAATTTTTTTTTAAGATTTTAAATTTTGATTTTTTTATTTTGTAGAACCTCTGGGGATGTTTTAGGTCAGTTATTCTAGTTTGTTCAGATAAATGTTAAAAAGCAAATACATAAATTTTCATTTTACCCCTTAATTATGAGAGGAAGGAATTAATAACCCACTTTATTATTAAGGGTAAAAATGTCATTTAATTTAATAAAATGTAATTATTACATAACGATCTAAGTGGAACACTTGTCTTCTTGGTTGAAATTTTGTAGGGAGCTACGGGAAAACATCTTTAAATGGTGGAACTTGAATGATGAACTTCATTCCATCTTTTTTTATCAAAATAGATTTTCGATGGTGGCAACTGTATTGCGAGTTCTTCAAAATGTATAGCTGTAATTTGGATCGCTGCTTACTTTCTTTTGGAGGGAAAGGAACTTCGTGTCTTCAAAGGTGCTGATTTCAGCAATAACCTTGTTGGCGAAATTCAATGTCGATTGGATATCTCTAAGGTGCAAGTCTTTCTATAAATCTTGAAACTCTTGGATTGCTTCTCCAAATGTTGTTGCGATTTAGCCTTTTTCGGTTTGGTTTTCTTTTCGTTTGGTCCTCTTGTTTTTCGCTGCTGTTTGTTTTCCAGTTTCGCTTTTCTTTTTTCTTTTTGGATTCTTTATCTTTTTTGCACCTTGCAGAGCTCTTTCTTTTAATCTAATGGTTTTCAAAGAAATCCAACATATAATTTAGAGTTCAATGAAAATTTGGTCCATGCGGTTTACATAAGTTAACGAATAAGGTCTCTAAAAAGAATCATTAATGAGGGACGTCCTTGTAGTTCCATTTTTATAACAGATTTGGTCCCTTTTACTAACTCTGCCAATTAAATTTCTGTTAGTGAGAGTCAATTTTATCCATTAACCCACCTCTCTTTGGACTTTCATTTTCTATATCGGATATCAGGACATTTAATCACCGACATACATGAAGGTGTTTTATTTGGTTGATCCAAAGACGAATCAAAACATCACCGAATCGGTTTCAAGATTTTTGAGTTCTGCTGACCCACAAGTTATTGAACCAAGCAAGACATAGTAGTCGTAATTGGAGCAAAATTGGCTATAAATTCAATAACGGTAAATGACAAATGATGATAACAGTATGAAAGTCCCATACTAAATACATATTTTGGTAAAAAGTTGATTACCGACAACCTCAACTGGTTCCATATGGAGTCCGCTTTCAATGACACCAATATAAGAATGAATGTTTTGGTAATTATAGTTTTAGTTTCTTATGGGTTTCATTTATGCCACCAACATCGTTCAAGTGTTAGCCGTTGAGTACCGTTCACATAAAAGTATTTTAATTCTTTTTTCTACATGAGAGACCAAATGAATATAATTTTTACAGTTACAAATAATTAACTATTTTTAGGCCATTCTTACTAAACAAATATTATGCAATTTTATTAATAAAACATACAGTTGTTGTAGTCTTATAAGTCATTCAGTTATAACAAACAAATGTATGTCTTATATAAATATGTTATAATAAGTTTATAAAATTATACGTTCTATTAATAAAATCGTAAACATTTATTTGGTAAAAATAGCTTAATACAGTTAATTGTTTGGTTCTATAAAAAATTAACCGTTGATTCCCTAATGAAGAAAAAAGAATTAAAATATTATCATGTGAGACGTACTCAACGATTTACACTTGAAAAATGACGTTAGTGATAGAAATCGGACTAATAAAACACTAAAACTATAACGACCAAAAATATGAAATAACAAGTTGTAAGAAAAGTATTTAATTATAAACAATAACAAAATAATTTTTTTTTTATGTATTGATTCTTTTATAAAAAAATATAGTTTAATTAAATCAAAAAGACTAAAATACCAAAAAAGGAAACGGAAAAAAAATATTTAATAAACCAAGAAGGAAAAGAATCAAAAGGACTAAAATCGCTCTAAGTTAAACTGATAATTTTTAATACATTTATAGTCTTAGTGACGGAAACAACAATGAATTAAATCACAAGGGTGGTGCTTGATTTGTCTGAGCTTGGCTCCAAATGTCAAAAGTACCAGGAGGTCTCATGTTCAAATTCAAGGAGGAATAAAAATTCTCTTGTGGCCACGGAGGTTCAAATGCGGTGACTCCGGACTATCTGCAAAACTGGTGGTCGCCCTACGATTAGTCGGCTCGCATAGCGGGTTGGATATCCAGGTTAATACAAAAAAATAACAATGAATTACAAATCATAGAAATGAAAATAGAAACAATTACATACCACATAGACGAAAATCAAAATTTCAAAACCACAGGGACGAAAATCAAAATCTTTCACAAATCACAGAGATAATTTTTTTAACTTAACTCAATCTTTTAATAACATGGTTTAAAATCCCCTAGGAGGCTAAGACGTATGAACGATGGTTTTAGGATGATACACTTATACAATTAGGTACGAGTTCGAGTCTGTCAATCAAATGCAATACGGGACTTGTAATTCATTTGAGGACAAAGTTGATGTGGGCATAAGGCTCCTAATCCAGCAACCTAACAAACCGTTGTGCATCTAATTTACCATCCACACGATTTCTTTTAGTACAACAGTATACGCTACCTTGACAGGTAGCAGCTAAAACCCATTTTTACACTAACATGATTTAAATTATCAAATATGGATTATTTATTTATTCATAGACATGAATTTAAATGAGGATGCTAACTAAGAAATTACCACCCAAAAGACCAACATGAAGCATCAATAACGAGAAAGTGCATGAACAAATCAATGCAATTTCTTGTATCCCAAAATCAGTCAAAGCTGCAATTTCTCATCAATTTCTCATCAATTTCTTGTATCCCAAAATCAGTCAAAGCTGCAATTTCTCATCAATTTCTAAAATAATTTATTGAATTGTATTGGTTATGTAAATATAATAGGTTGTATTTGAAACAAACTCTCTTTCTCTCTCTCGATATATATATATATATATATATATATATAATTTAGACAAAAACACATTCATTTTACAAAAATACAAAAATACTTTTTTCAATTACATATTATACTACATCCGCTACACATACAACTTTTGACGGGCCAAGTTGCCCGTAAGTTAACAGGACCCAACAAGTCCTCTATATATCTTGTAATATATGATATGAGTGTTCTCGTATTTTTATAAAATAAATGTGTTTTTGTTGGAATAAACAGTTGTGTTTATTTTTATGAGGAGTAAAAAAATAATTTAAATTAATTTAATTATGATACTGAAATCAAATTAAATTTGGGACAGTAGTCACATCATGAGCTCATTATAACTTAATTAAGTACACTTTTAATGCATATAGATTATACTAGAAGTGTACTCGCGCAATGCAGCGAGATACATCGTGTTTTTAATATTTCATTTT